CCCGCCCCCCCCCCCCTGGCATAGCCACATAAGTTTGGGGTCGAGGAGGACGGGACGCAGAATGCAACCCCCCGGCCCGTGGGAGAGGCCCTCTTTCCCCCTTTTTGGGTCGGGAACCGGGCCTTTTTTCTTGTCAGGCGCTCCGCCACCTGCGCGAAATGTGCTCGAGCTTCTCGGTGCTCGGATGCCCCAGCGAGGGCGAACCTCAGGGCCCCCCCCCCCCCCGTGACCCCTCCCCCCCCCACTCCCCTCCCCCAGGTGCTCGGCTGCTACCCGCAAAACGGGCTCGTGCTGCGCCCCGCCGACGGATCGCCGCAGACCGACGCCTCTCCGCCCGCCTCCTCCGGCGCGCGCGTGTCGCACGGGCCAGCCACGCGGCTCCGCGTCGGCATCGTCGGCTTCGGAACCTTCGGCCAGTTCCTCGCCCGCCGCTGGGTCGGGCGCGGCCACGCTGTCTTCGCTCACTCGCGCGGTGACTACGCGAAGACGGCGGCGGGCATGGGGGTGGCGTGGGTGCCAGACGCGGCGGCGCTGTCCGAGCTGAGCGTGGACGTGCTCTTCGTCGCAACCTCGATCCTCTCGTTCGAGAAGGTGCTGCGCGCGCTGCCCGCGCCGCTGCTCGAAAAGGCGCGCGGCCTGCGGCGGAGGGGTCTGTGAAGCGAGCGGCGGTGGGCGTGGGCGCGACGCGCCCGCGACGCGCCCGTGTCAGGCGCTCGTGGTAGACGTCCTCTCCGTCAAGGCGCACGCCAAGCAGACAATGCTCGCCGTGCTGCCCCCGACCGCCGACGTGCTGTGCACCCACCCCATGTTCGGGCCCGACTCTGGGCGGCACGGCTGGCAGGGGCTGCCTTGCGTCTACGACCAGGCGCGCGCCGCGCCAGACGCCGCCGACTGCCGCGGCGGTGTGAACGGCGCCTCCGGACGTCGCCTCTTGTTGCGAGCAGGTGCGCGTCGCAGACTACCACCGAGCCGCGCGCGCGCTCGCCCTCTTCGAAGACGAAGGCTGCCGGATGGCCAAGCTGTCGTGCGGGGCGCTGGACGGCTGTCGATTGAGCGGGCGCCTTGTGTGCTAGGCTGCCAGATGGTCAAGCTGTCGTGCGAGCGACACGACGCGCTCGCCGCCGCGTCGCAGTTCGTGACGCACCTCACCGGCAGACTCCTCTCCAAGCTGCAGCTGCAGCCGTCGCCGATCGCGACGCAGGGTTTCAAGGCGCTGCTCCAGCTCGTCGACAACACGCGCGCACCGCCCTCGTTCGGCCTCTTCTGCGCGCGTGAACGGCGTCTCTTCACAGCGGCTGGAGTGTGGACAGGTGCCGCGACTCGTTCGACCTCTTCTACGCGCTCTACTCGCACAACGCAAACTCGAACGACATGATGGACCAGTTCGGCGCCTCTTCTCCTCCCCACCCCGGCGGGACACCTTCCGGACCCCCCCCGCAGCTCCTCGGAGCCGTCCCGTAGGCGCCGCCTTCTCCGAGCTCCGGCGCGAGATACTCGACTTCGGCGCGGCGCCGCCTGCGCCGGCCGGTGAGATTGCAATCTCGCGCACCGTCGCGGCGATGCCCGCGTCGGCGACGGTCGCCATCTCGGATCTCGCCATCGAGCTCAAGCGGCAGGGCAAGCCCGTCATCTCCCTCTCGGTCGGCGAGCCCGACTTTTCGCCTCCGCCCGAGGTGATGGAGGCGGCGCACGAGGCGCTGCGCGAGGGCAAGGTCAAGTACACCGCGCTGGCGGGGTCGCACGAGCTGCGCTCCGCCGTGTGCGACGATTTGCTCCGCCGGAAGGGCCTCAAGTACGAGCCGTCGCAGGTGGTCTGCTGCTGCGGCGCGAAGCAGGCGATCCTGCAGGCTGTGCTCGCGCTGTGCAACCCAGGCGGCGACGTCACCGCGCCGACGCCGCGCTGCGACATGTCCAGGACGCGTCCTCTTGACGCCACAGGCGACGAGATCATCGTGCCGACGCCGTACTGGCCGTCGCACCTCGGCACCGCCCAGCTGCGCGGCGCGTGTGCCGGACTCGGCCATGACGTGGTGCGCGACATGTCCCGCAGGCATCCCTCAGCTCTGTGGCGCGACGGCCGTGCTGCTCGAGACGCGCGCCGAGGAGGAGTACGTGCTGCAGCCCGCCGCTCTCGAGGCGGCCTCCCACGCGCCGAGGACGACGCTGCCCGAGACACGTCCGAGACACGTCCCGAGACACGTCCCTCGCAGGCGGCCATCACGCCGAAGACGAGGCGCCCCTCCCGCCCCACAGCCTGCCCCAGCTTGCCCCAGCCCACCCCACAGCCAGGCAAGAGCCTCCTCCTGCCCTGCTAGGATGCTCATCCTCTGCAACCCGTCCAACCCGACCGGCGCTCTGCTCCCGCGCGCCGCCCTCGAGGGCGTCGCGGCGGTGCTGCGGCGCCACCCGCAGGCCATCGCCCTCGCCGCCCGACCCCGCTCCGCCCTCGGCCCAGATCTCGGCCAGATCTCGGCTGGACCTCTGCCGGATCTCGGTTTCCGCCAGATCTCGGTCGCCTCTCGGCCGCCTCTCGGCCAGATCTCGGCTGCCTCTCGCCGTCTGCAGGTCGTCGTCCTCGCCGACGAGATCTACGAGCTCATAGCGTACGACGAGCCGCACGTGGCCTTCGCGACGCTGGAAGGGATGTACGAGCGCACCCTCACCGTCAACGGCTTCTCCAAGGGGGCGGCGATGACGGGCTTCCGGCTCGGCTACGTCTGCGGCCCGCACGGCGCCATCAAGGCGATGGCAAAGGTGCAGGGCAACAACACGTCCTGCCCCTCCTCGATCGCACAGCACGCGGGCGTCGCCGCCGTCACGCACGCGCACGGCGCCTTTGCGGAGGCCGCCACCGCAAACTTCCGGCGCAAGCGCGACTACGTGGTCGGCCGGCTGCGAGGCATGGCCGGCGTGAGCTGCCCGGTGCCGCAGGGCGCGTTTTACGTCTTCCCCACCGTCTCGGCCTTTTACGGCCGCACGGCCCCCTCGGGCGCCGCGCCGCACGACTCGACCTCGCTGTGCGTGCCGCGCCGCCGCCCGGCCCTCGCTCCCTCTCCTCTCCCGCCGACCCGTCTCTTCTCCCCCCCCCCCCCCACCCCGCGGCGGCAGGTGCGACTACTTGCTGCGCGAGGAGCATCTCGCCCTCGTGCCCGGCGCCGGCTTTGGCGCGCCCGGCTGCGTGCGCATCTCGTACGCCACGTCGATGGAGGCGCTGCAGGAGGCGATGGACCGGATGGAGCGCGGGCTGGCCAAGCTCTGCAAGTAGTCACACGCGGCGACACCGCTCGGCATCGCGCCCCGATCGCGCATGACTGTTGACTCTGGACCACACGAGCTGTTAGTTAGCGGCGCCGTCTATTTGCCGCACTTACCGTGCACGCGGAGTCCGGTCCGGGCGGTAGCGCCGCCACCGCGCATGGAACATTAAAAAAGAAAGCATGTTCGTGACCACACCGTCACCGCACGTCGCGCTACTGGGCTGGGTTTTTAGGCATTGTGGGGTTGGCACTCCCATCGACCCTCATGACCTCCTGCGGTCTCTGAGATGGACACCAGTGGGTGTGGGACCACAGCCAGGATACACTCGAAGGCTGGGTAAGCAGTAGAGGTCGATACTCGACGCGTGCCACATGATCTGTGTCGCTGTCGGCACGCTGTCGACAGAGGACGTCGAGCGACACTGGTGGCAGTGCCACCCAGGAGTGGTCGGGCGGTCTCCCGTCATGAGAGAGCCACCATGTAATCCGTATGATGATTCCTGACAACCGCCTCGATCAACTTTCGTCACAGTTCCCGCTCTGAGAGGAGCTGCGGGTCAGTTCGACAGCTGGAGCTGTGTCGCCGGCGTGCGGCGGCCTGCCTCCGGAGGTGCCTCTGAGGTGGACATTTTTTGGTCACCGTGAGAGAACGCATTCAAATTTTTACTCCGGAACTTCAACTTCGCACGCGCACCGGCCAGGGCTACAATAGTGCCAGTGAGGCGGAGGCGCGAGTCGGAAGGCCGCGACCGTGATTTGGTCCCTCCACTTACCTACAATCGCTGTGAACCCAGCCACGTACTCATGATTCAAACGCGCCACTCAAACGACTGCGCACGAAACCTTCCAAAGCCCTGCACCCGGCCTGTGATGTCGACGCAGAGCTCATCGAGGGGGCCGTCCGTCTTCAGCGCCTGCCGGGTCTTCCAGTCTTGCACGCTGAGCACCTGCAGCCACGAACCAGTCGCCACGAAGAGATGCTGGCCGTCCGGCGCGATGGCCAGCGCGCGGACATCTCGCTCGCACTGCAGCAGCACCCGCACGAATGTTCCGTCCGCTTCGAACAGGAGGAGCGCACCGCCACGGTTGCCGACAAAGACTTTGCCGGCCGCAGCGGCGACGCTGGTCGGCCGATCGATGCGCGGGTGCCCAAAGTCGTGTGCGTGCGCGAGGGTCGTCTTGTCGAGGATGTGGACGCGGTTGCCGTACGGGTCGCACACAAAGAGCGACGAGCCGGCGACTGTGCACGCACGAGTGATGACCCCGGGGCCGGCACCGAAGCCCAAGGTCGGCGACGTGCGCACGCGCTCCCGGTCGTCGAGTCGGATCAGGGTGATGCTTTCTTGAAGGGGCTCGATCACGTACAGGAAGTCGCCGTCCGTGGTCATTCCACGCGGGTCTCTGAGTTTCGCGCTGAGCAGAATATCCGCCGCGAGGGTGGACAAAAGTCTGTCGGGAGGGTGCGTCGAGACAGACACAGACCCCCTATCCGGCTGGGAGTGTGAGTGAGTATTCTTGATACGAAACCACGACGACACACACCAGTCGACTCGCATCGGTTGCCTCCATGAACGGCGGAGCTATTCTCGCGCCCACACCACACCTGGCTCCAACGTGGACACGCCCATAGCTGGGGACACTACTAGGTCACGCATGGCATCACAGAAGTTTTGTCTCTGGGCCCCGAAAGGCATCTCTAGCAGTGTCGTTACGCATGCCCCCTCCCCTCCTGGGCGCATGCGCCTCACGTCTCGCCAGAGCATACGCCCTTGGTGTGTGGCGAGACGAGTTTTTCGCCATGCAGCGAGCAGCAAGCCGCCCGCCGCAAACAGCCGGAGGCCTCGCCGCGGCACTGACTGCGCCGCGCTCCCGCACCCGTCGACGAAGCTCCCCCCGCGGAAGACCGCGCGTAGCGACGCCTTGACGATCGAGATGGGCGCGCCTGAAGCTCGCCCACCTACTGCCCCTGAGAGTTGGTTACGAGTGGGATCAGCTCCCCCCCTTGGGATCAAAGCTTCCACGACCTCGCACCCAACATCTCAGGCGGGATCAGAAGGGGACTCCACACCGGACACCGCCCGGGCACAGCCCCCCTACCCGTCGGATCGCACAGGGCCCCCTAGGAGCAGCCCACACACAATCTCGCATCGGCAGATTGCGCCTGAGTCAGGCAGACAGCAGACAAGGAGAGGAGAGAGGAGAGAGAGAGAGAGAGGAGAGAGGAGAGGGTGAGGGTGTGTGCACACGTGTGGAGCAGGGAGGGTGTCTGTGGTGGGCTATAGTCATACTACGTGGTTAGAACCACGCGCCCCTCAGGAGCTAAGGTAGAGCTGAGCGTCCAAGACGCCTCGGTGCCACCCACCGGCGTGAAGACCATCCGGATCTATCTGCCGCGTCCTCCGTACGCAGCAGTCCCCGCGATGGCCCACGGTCCTCCGTCGCCTGGTTGACCCCCTGCCTCCCGGTTGACCCCCCAGTCCTCGTAGTCCATCATGAAATAAACTCAAAGATCCACCACGCCTCCAGCCTCCACCGCGAGGCCGCCACCGCTGCCGCCCGCGACGCCGCCCGCCGCGTCAGATTGCCGCGACGCGCGCCTCGAGTCGAGTCGGAGAGCCGCACACACACACACACACACTCCGGCTGGGAGCCGGAACCCTGCACGCGAGAGCATTTTGTTAGTTCCGCCGATAACGATTGGGGTGGGGGCCCCAACTCGTGGTAGGCCACTAGTTTATCGTAGGGTACTCACGGATACCTCTCCTGAGTCCCTCTCGTGTGCCCTCGCGCACATCGCATGCGGTCTTCACTCAGCCTCCGCTGCTGTGAACACCAAACTTGCACTTCAGCTGGCGCGCGCTTTCGCCGCCTACTTTCGCGAGCGCGCTTGGCCCTTGCTCCTCATGCGCGGCGCTCTCGCTGCGCTCTCTCCCTGCTCATGGGACCTGATGCCGCGCCACCTCTGTGGCCGCTCCATCCTCTCTGACGGCGCCAGCCCTCTCCTCCGCCGCCGCCTCGAGTGAGCCTCGTCTCGCTCTTCGTCTACTCGAGCCTCGTCTGGTGTGCCGCCTCGTGGGCGGCGTGGCGTGAATGTAGGCTTCACGCTGGGGTCGCTCCTCGTCACGAGCGCATCTGCCCCTCTTCTGGCTTCATTGGGATGCGAGGTCCGTCTGCACCCGCTCCCTCCACTCTGCGTTGGGATGTCCGGTACTGCGTAGCTCTTCCGTTGTGGAGGCACGCGACTCCAGACTGACCCTTTACGCGCCAATGTATCACACCTCACGGTGCTGATGCTTGGTTCATGTGGAGAAGCCGAGATAAACTAGTCCGCCGATAACGATTGGGGTGGGGGCCCCAACTCGTGGTAGGCCACTAGTTTATCGTAGGGTACTCACGGATACCTCTCCTGAGTCCCTCTCGTGTGCCCTCGCGCACATCGCATGCGGTCTTCACTCAGCCTCCGCTGCTGTGAACACCAAACTTGCACTTCAGCTGGCGCGCGCTTTCGCCGCCTACTTTCGCGAGCGCGCTTGGCCCTTGCTCCTCATGCGCGGCGCTCTCGCTGCGCTCTCTCCCTGCTCATGGGACCTGATGCCGCGCCACCTCTGTGGCCGCTCCATCCTCTCTGACGGCGCCAGCCCTCCGGCTGCGCCATCTCTCTTTGGTTCCCACCCACCCTCTCCTTGGTGGCATGCTAAGCTCTCACGCTATCATGGGATCCACCGTGGCTCTCACGGCGAAGTCAGCTCGAGCCTCTGCTCGCGTAATGGGTCCTGTCGTCGGCCCATCTTACCTCTCCCCCCTCTTTATGCGGGGGAGACTCCCGCGTCGTTTACGCGGCGGTAGGTGCTCCACGTGTGGTGAGCTCCACCTCTCTCTCTACTTGGTCTGAGGTGCGAACCCTTACGGCGCTGCGGCCGGCTGCAGGACGTTGAGGTTACCTCCGGACCTGCAGTTCGTCCAAGCTGTTTGAGTCCCAACCCTCCGCCTTTAGTGGCAAGACCCCGGGGGATGTCAGGTACTGCGTAGCTCTTCCGTTGTGGAGGCACGCGACTCCAGACTGACCCTTTACGCGCCAATGTATCACACCTCACGGTGCTGATGCTTGGTTCATGTGGAGAAGCCGAGATAAGAGGGCTCCCGCGGCGATCAACACCGCAACTCCTTTTCTAAATTTCACCACGCTTCTTACGCGCGACGACGCTACAGCCTCCACCAGGTCGACGAGTTCGGGGTGCAGGTGGTAGAGCGTGCCGTCGTCCGACTCCCAGCAGCTGATGACGCGCGAGATGTCGGTGTCGCGGAATTCGTGCGTACCGTCGCCGTTGGGACGGTCGTTGCTCGCGCCGTTGGGAAACGCAAGGCGCACCTTTTTGTTTTGAAGACCTCGATACTTAGCGCACTGCTCGGGCGAGAGCTCAAACACGTGCCGCGTCTCGTCTTCGCCGCCGGCTACGCGCACAGACACAGTGCGCGGCAGCACCGACACGTCAACCCGCGTGTACGTCAGCGACGGGTCCCGCACGCCGCACGAGGCGCATGCGTGCAGCGGCAGCGCGTGCGCCATGCGCTCGTCGCTCCACTCGCCCAGCAGCCGCCGCTTCGTCTCGTCGGAGACGTGCACGCAGCGCTGCAGCAGCGCCGCCGTCTCGTCCTCGGGCCGCTCCAGGTCCATGACGACGTTCGTCGAGGCGTGGAAGCGCGTCTCCAGGTCGATGGCCGCCTGCTCGGCCGCGGCGAGCTTGCCCTGGTCGACGCACATGCCGCACACCGCGTGCGCCGGGCAGCCGCACTGGCCGCGTTGTGGGCGCACGGTCTTGGCGACCGCCGGCGCTGCGCGCCGGTCGTGCTGCTCACGCTGCCGGCGGCGCTGGTCGCGCGCCTGCCGATCGCGCGTGTTCGCGGCGGCTGCATCTCTTGCTCGTTTCGCTCGCACCCGAGCGGCTGTCGCCAGGCGCTTCAGGTCGGCGGTGCTGCGCGCGCGGCCGTCGGCCAGGCACAGCCACATGTCCTCCTCCTTAGCAGGCTCGCACGGCTTGCCGTCGAACTGCGGCTGGCGCCCGCGACGATGCTTCGCCCAGGCCGGGCACGATGGTGCCGCGACGAGCGGCGTCGAGGCGACGGCCATCGATGGGTCCAGAAGACTTGGAGACACTTCTACCAAAAAATCAAAAAAAATCGAGCACAATTGCGTTACATGGGCATGGCCGGGGTTTCTGCACCGAACGATCTTACTTTCGGTCTATCGAAAGTGTTGATCGACTACTTTATCTGGGCTTCACTTCCTAGCATCCGTGAGGATACATTGGAGCGTACTAGGGTCCGTCTGGAGTCGTCGCGTGCCTCCACAAGGAAGAGCTACGCAGTACCTGACATCCCCTGGGGTCTTGCCACTAAAGGCGGTGGGTTGGGACTCGATCAGCTTGGACGACCACGGGCACGGAGGCAAGCCTCAACGACCCGTGGCCTGGCCGCGTCGCCGAAAGGGATCGCACCACAGACCAGAGGGAGGGAGGAGCTAACCATACGGAGAGCCCTCAGAACGACCCCCCTTATCCCAGGAGAGGGTGGGTGGGGAAAGCGAAGAACCGGCGCAGCCAGAGTGCTGGCGCGGTCGCAGACCGCAGAGCCTGGCGCGGCCACAGAGCTGGCACGGCGCCGGGCCAGGAAGAGCAGCGAGAGAGCTGCAGGAGCAGCACGCAAAGAGCGCGGCCACGAGGCACGCGGAACGTGCTTGGACGTACGTCGCGTCCTGAGTGTTCACGGAGAAAAATCCGTGAAGACTGGCAGGAGGGATGAAGACCCTTCATATGAGAAGACGCTCCTCAGTAAGTACCTGCGATAAAGTAGTAGCCTCACACGAGTTGGGGCCCCTACCCCAATCGTTGACGGCGAATAAACTACCCCCTGTATCGTAGTCTTCGTTACTACCATTTTTTTTGAGTTTTGGCACTGATAAATTCGCGGCGTTCGCAGCGAGCCGAGCCAGGCCACGGCGCTCGGCCTGCTGAGAGAATACCTTCCCCGACGGCAGTGACAATTTACCCGACATCAATCGTCGACGGCAAGCTCGAGAACTGCGCCTCCAAAGTCGCCCAGATTCGCCTCTCGCGGCGCGCTGAGTTAGTATCGCCGGTGCGCCAGCCGGCTCTGCTCCACAGCAGGGCATGCCTGACTGGCTCCTGCTAGCCGTGCGTCCTGGTGGCATCCATTGCCAGCTCAGGTAGCCCCAGGAGGTCGCCTCGCGCACGACGCGGCGTCGCACAGCACCGCTCCGCGTTACTACCGAGTTAGTATCGTCGACCCACAGAGACTGCTCTTCTGTAGGTGGAGCCGACAAACGCCGGCCGGGTCGGCCCCGCCGCCCCCATCGCCGCCGCCGGGGCGGCGGCGGCCTCGGCGGACCATCCGGCGCGCCGCGCGCCCGACGGGGAGGTGTTCACCACTCCTGGCTCCTCACCCCGCCACGCCTTCGTGCGGACGCCGTGGCACCCACCTCAGGCGCCGCTCGGACTCGGTTGACGGCCGCCCAAGTGCTTGGCTCGTGCCCAGCCGACCGGCAGGCGATGCCCACTCGCTGCTAGGCTAATCCCGGGCTGTCAAGCGGCGGTGTGGTGCCGTGAAGGGCAGCGGTGCCAAAACTACGACTACCGTGCGGGGGCAGTGCATTTAATTCTGTCAAAAATCGAAATGTGCTCCGTGGGACGTATTGGGCTAGGATCATACGTCCGGGAGGCCCCCCATGCGTGCCGCAACGACCCGCAGTTCTGGTACCACTCTCTTCACGTTCACAGCTCCTAAGTGTGCCATAACTCCGATACAGGGGGTAGTGGGATGTGTGTATATGCTGGCCCTCGTCGTGCTGTCAGTCTCTCTCGCTCCGTTCGCAAGTCGGCAAGCGCCAAAGCCGTCTCGCCGAGGATGTCCGCAGGCTGGCATCGCTGCGCACGGCGTGGCTGGCGCCGTCGCGTACACGTGCGTCTCCACCGCGTGGTACTCGGCCGGAGTCGCGCTCGCCTTGCGCGGGCTGCCTCCGCCTGCGGCTCGGCCTGAGCTCGCCTCGACGCCTCCCGGTGGCCTGCTGCGGCTGGCCCTCGGGCGCGTCGCGAAAGCCTACGCCCTCGCCTTTGCTGCGAGCCAGCTGTCGACCCCGTGGCGGGCTGCTGCGGCCGCGGCGTTGGTGCCGTTCGTGTCCCTCTTCCTCTCGCGCACTCGACGGCTCCTCGGCGCCTCGTCGCTCCTGCCCGCCGCTCTACTGGCTCTCGCGGCAGCGGTGGGCCTCTTCACCGCAGCCATGGCGGCGCTGATCGCGCGGGAGGTGGCGCTGCTGCGGTCGCTGCCGGCCTCGGAGCCACAGCCACCGGAGGCAGGAGGAGCTCCACGGTCGGAGCAGCCGAGACCAGGGGACCTCCCCGCCGCAGCCGCGACAAGGTGAGCTTGCTGCAGCCTGTGCCTGAGTCCGGACAGGACTCACCGAGACCGTCCTGCTGCGCAGTTGTGCTGCAAGCCCAGCCGAGGGCGCAGCCCCAGCCGTGGAGGCGGGAGCCGCTGACGGAGAGGAGGGGCAGCCACCTCCCCTCTCTTTCGGGTGGCGCGCCGCCTCGGCGAGAGAGGCGCGGCTGGTGGACGCAGCTCTCGCAAGCCTCTCGGAGGCGGGCGAGGGAGGAGGCGCGGGCGGCGCGGGCGGCGAGGCGTGGCTGCGGCGCCTGAGCCGCACGGACGTACTCCGCTTCGTGCGGGCGAGGGGGGGCCAGGCGGCGGAGGTACGGGCGCTTGACGGCGTGCAGGCGGCGCTGCGCTCGACTGCAGCGTGGCGGAGCGACGAGCGTGTGGACGGCATCCTCGACAGGGAGGGGGCTCTCCTCTCGCTCGAGACTTTCTTCGCGCTGCACAACGACGAGGCGGGCGGCGAGGCGGCGGGCGCGGGCGAGGCGCGCTGGCTGCGCGGGCGCGACCGCGCCGGCCGACCCACCGCCGTCTTCTTCGCGGACCGGCACCGCCCGGGCCAGATCCCGACCGAGACGTGGCGGCGCTTCGTCGTCTACAACGCCGAGGCGGCCATCCGGGACCTCGGCGTGGCGGACGGGCCGGGAGGCCAGTTCAGCCTCGTGGTGGACCGGTCCTCCTCGGGCGTGCGCAACCAGGACCCGGCGCTCGCCATCGCCGTCCTCCCGGCCCTCGTGCAGCATTATCCCGGCCTGCTCGGAGAGGTGATCGTGGCGCCCGTCAACGGCGTCTTCTGGGCCGTCTGGCGCGTCGTCTCGCTCTTCCTCGCGGAGGAGACCACGCGGCGCTTCACCTTCATTCGAGGTGCGCGGTGGAGGGAGGCGCTGCTCGAGGCGGTGGGAGGCGACGTGGAGCTGCCCGAGCACATGCGGCCCGCTGGTGACGGTGTGTAAGCTGTGTGTAGGGGTTATGCGGCGGGTGCTTTGACGCATGTGTGTGACGCGTACGTAAAGCTGCATTTAACACAACGGCATTTCACAGCACCTAATCAACAGCACAAACCACAATGGACACCTCTCCTGATGTGTACAGTCAGACAGCAAACTCAGGTCTCAGCGAGTTCCGAACGCGCTCGTCGGTGACGGTGTCCCCGCGGATAGCTCGGATTTCGCCGCGCTCGGCGAACCTCGACAGCGCCTTCGGTGGCATGCAGCTCTTTGCGCCTGAAGCTTGGAGAGCAGCTCCTCTGCTGCTCACACGCTCTGCACAGATGGCACAGCCTACTGTGCGGCTGCCACAGCCGTGTGACAGCGATGGGCTCGCCCTCACTGGCCCTCAGTCACTTGTGCTGCGGCTCGTTGTGTGAGCGACACTGCTCGGCGACTGCCGGCACACTGTGAGACCGTGGGTGTGAGGTTAAACCACGCTACCAGCGCTTGGTCACATCGGCCCCGAGGTCAGATTCTTCTACTCTGTTAGTGACAAGACTTGTCTACTGGCTGGAGCCGAGCAGGAGGTCCCGGCGCACAACCCCTGGTCAACTCACGGTCCACACCCCGTAACCTGAGTCTCTCTCTCTCTCTCTCACTCTCTCTCTCTCTCTCTCTCTCTCTCTCTCTCTCTCTCTCTCAGACAGAGCGCCGCGCGAGCTCGACACGAGCGCCCCGGAGCGCACGAGCACGGAACCAAGTCATTCGACAGGGCCGCTGCAGGGCCCCTAGATCCATGTCGACGAGGTGACGCACCGGCTCGACTCGTAGACAAAGGTGACGGCGTTGAACTTGCGGTCGTCCACCTCTTTCCAGAGCGCCCGCAGGGCGTTCGACATATTCTTGAGTATCGCCGGGAAGTGCTTGCACTCGCTCGAATACTGGCCCTCACCGTGGTATTCGAGGTAGAGGCCGTTCTGCGCCATCTCGTTCTGGACCGACGTTGTCTGGGTCTTCGAATCAGGTCCCGTGGCAGACGCGTTGCAAGCCGTCATCGTCTTGTGTGGGATGTTGAGGACCACCGTCGTCAAGACCTGGTTCGCGAATTTACTCGGTCCGCGGAACTGCCAATCAGCAACTCCGTCCTCGATGTCGGTGGCGAAGAGGAGCTGCCAGGTGCCAGCTGAACGTCATCGTGTGCTCGAATTCCGATCATCGCGGCGGTCACGGGCGGCATCCACGGCGCGATGGACGCTGGCGAGTAGCCGCCCAGGCTGCTCAGCTGAGCGCTGTACAAAGTCATGATGGGCGGCGGGATGGGGAGCCGGTACTCATCCTTGCAGTGCAGACAACATTCTGCGCGCGCTGCAGGAGGGGCACAAAGTACTGCCGGTGCTCATCCAACACGTTGGCGGGCATCCAGCGGTCTCTGCTGCACGGCGCGGAGAAGAGCCTCGCCCGGGAGCGTGGTCGAGTACACAGGAAGCCGTGGGTGCCCTTCTTGTCCGGGCGGCCGCTCTGTGTGAGCACAACCTCAGCCGCGATGCTCTTTTGGGCAGTCTGGTCCTGGATTGAAAAGTCGCCAGACCGGGTCGGGCGTAGTTCCGTCGGGGGCGAAATCCTGCGATGCGAACTGCATGCAGCATGGTCTCCGCGGCGATGTGGAGTGCGACGTGATAAAATTCGGCGACCTCGATCATGCAGTACGAAAGCTTGAGCCGCTGCTGCGGGATCAGGTTCACGTTGTCGCACGGCACGAGCTTTCCGCTCTCGTCGATCTGGAAGCGCAGCGAGTCGCCCACGTCGTTGGCGAAGCCATTCGCCCCTTCCAAAAGTGGAACGCTGTACTCCGCCCCCTTGTGCGGCTGCAGAAACTCCCAAAGCTCGGGGTGGTTGTGCCGCAGGACGGCGGACTGTTCGCACGAGAAGATGTACTCCCCGTTTTCATACGTGAGCAGCTTGGAGAGCCACGTGTCCTGGAAAAAGGCGGCCAGCCGCTTCAGCGCCGGCCCGTTGAGCAGGTCTTCCACCTCGCTCGGCAGGCCTTGGTTGCCTGAGTGTTTCGCCTTGACTGTCTCGAGCACGCCGAGGGCGATTCCGTTTGCTGTCTGTCACCGAGGAGGAAGGTGGTGACGAGGCAAGAAAAAAACCTCCTGCACTCCCGCCGCTCGCCAGGGCCACATTGATGCGTCGCGTCGCGCTCCGATTCGCCTCGCGACGACCGAGTCTGGCTACCTCTGGCCGCCGGCTGCTGTGCAGCAAGACGCCTAGCGATTCAGAGCCGGTGTCGGTGCCCTTTTTGCGGCGAGTCGGCGCTCCGGAGGGCGGCGAAAAGGGCGGCGAAAAAGGCGGCGAGGAAGGAGAATCGTTAATTCGCTTCGGCGACGACGAGGAAAGTGAGGACGGCGAGGCGGAGCCCAAGTCGACGGCCGAGCCGGCCGAGCGTCTGGGCGACGGACGTGAGAGCCCGAGCCGGCTCGACTCGCGGCTCCTGCTGCCACTGGAAAGCGAGGACTCGCGGAAAGTGAGGTCCAGCTGGCAATCGCGCGCCGGAATGGTCGCCGCCGCCGCCGGCGTGGGCGTGCTCGGTTGGAACCACGCACCCGCGCTGCTGCCCTACGGGCCAGACGTCGTCGGCGCGGCGCTCGTCGTGGGTGGGCTGGGCGCGGCTGCATCGGCACGGAGCCGGTTGGGAGGGTCGGGCGGCGGCGGCGGCGGCGGCGGCGCGCCCGAGGAGAGCGCTCTCGAGGTGACTGTGCCGCGGGACCTGGCTACTGGCGAGGGCACCGGCGTGGAGCTTGAGGTGGTGCCTCAGTACGCGGCGCAGGTCACAGGCGACGTGGCGGCGGCGGCAGGCCCGGTGGAGGCGAAGCTCGCCGACGCCGAGAAGTTCGAGGAGAGAGAGCTCGAGAAGCGGAAGGCGCTACAGATGAAGGCCGCCGCCGGGAGAGAGAGAGGAGAGAGCCATGGCGAGGAGGCGTTGTCCGAGAGCCTCTCCTCCCCGCCAACCTTAGAATCTGGAGGAGGAGGTGGAGAAGGAGCTCCTCGCCGGCGCCTCGCCTCGGAGAGTGCGCCAGCGGCTGAGCCCCAAAGTGTGGGTCGTCGACTGGGACGTCCGGCCGGCGCCGGTCGCGGCAGGAAGCCCGCCTCGACCGCCGCTGATGCGAGACATGCTCAACACTCTGCGGGCGCAGGCCCGAGCTTGCGCCCTTCCCCGCCCTGCCCCGCCCCTCTCTGGACAGGAGTGCGAAGGAGTGCTGACGTGAGTCAGAGCCGCAGGTGTCCTTCCTGCTAGCGACGGCGAGCCCGTACGACGAGGTGGTCGTGCGGATCACGTCGCCGGGCGCACGCGTGAGCGACTGCGGCACAGTCTCTGCGGGAGAGGTGATGGACGTGTCCTGGACATGTCCTCCAGGCGGACCAGTGAGCGACTACGGCAGAGTCTCTGCGGGAGAGGTGATGGACGTGTCCTGGACATGTCCTCCAGGCGGACCAGTGAGCGACTACGGCAGAGTCTCTGCGGGAGAGGTGATGGACGTGTCCTGGACATGTCCTCCAGGCGGACCAGTGAGCGACTACGGCAGAGTCTCTGCGGGAGAGGTGATGGACGTGTCCTGGACATGTCCTCCAGGCGGACCAGTGAGCGACTACGGCCTCGCGGCTGCGCAGCTCGGCCGCCTCCGCTCCGCAGGGCTGCCAACCACGGCGTGCGTCGACCTGGTCGCTGCGAGCGGCGCACTCGGCTGCCGCCGCAGACCTGCGCAGCAGGGACGCGCCTGCCGAGACGCCGCCCCTCTCCCCTCAGGCGGGTACATGATGGCCTGCGTCGCCGACAAGCTCCTCGCCGCCCCGTTCGCGTACGTCGGCTCCATCGGAGTCGTGGGCGGGAGCCCAAACGTGCACAAGGCAATCTCACTGCGCTATCATGCAAGAGGATAGAATATCGTATAGGAGCCCAAACGTGCACAAGCCGGTTCGCCCGCACGGAGCCCGCGGGGGCCGGACCGCCCTCCAGGCTCCTCCTCGAGGCCTCCTCCTCCTCCTCCTCGCCCTCCCCCGCCCGGCCGCAGGTGCTCGAGCGGGCGGGCGTCGAGGTCGTCCAGAGGACGTCGGGGCGCTTCAAGCGGTCGCTGCAGCAGTTCGAGCCAAACACGCCCGAGGGGCTGCAAAAGTACCAGGAGGAGATCGACGCCATCCACGCCGCCTTCAAGGCGACCCGCACTCGGAACCGGTCCGGCTCCATGGACGTGTCCGGGACGTGTCCCTCCTCCTCCCCCGCAGGTGCACGTCTCTACCAACCGCCCCTCGCTCGACATCGAGGTGCCTCGCGGCGGGAGAGGCCTTCTCTCGCGGGGACACGTCCACGACACGTCCACGACACGTCCACGACACGTCCACGACACGCCCACGACACGCCCACGACACGTCCACTGACACGTCCACGACACGTCCACGACACGCCCACGACACGCCCACGACACGCCCACGACACGCCCACGACACGTCCACTGACACGTCCACGACACGTCCACGACACGCCCACGACACGCCCACGACACGTCCACTGACACGTCCACGACACGTCCACGACACGTCCACGACACGCCCACGACACGTCCACGACACGTCCACGACACGCCCCCCCCGCAGGCGGTGGCGACGGGCGAGTCGTGGCTCGCTCTGCACGCCCTCGACCAAGGGCTCGTCGACGGACTCTGCACCGCGGACGCGTACCTGCGCACCCGCTCCGCAGACGCCGCGGTGCTGCTCGTGCGCGCAAAGCCGCCCAGGCGCACCGGCCTCGCGGCCCTTCTCTCCCGCGGCGTCGAGGGCGCAGCCTCCGCCGCAGCGGCGCTCGCCGAGCTGGCGGGCGCCGGCCGAGGGCTCGCGAGCCAGCTCTCCTCCCGCCTCCGCCCCAGCGCCTCGCTCGCCGGGCAAGGGCTCGCCTCGGGCGCGGCGAGCGGCGCCTCGCCGACAGAGGCACCGCCGAGCTGAACCGTCAACGTGGACCTCGCCCCGTGATAGCCGTGTGTCCCGGAGGAGTACGGCCGCGAGCACCGCGTCTCACACACGTCGCTTCTCACACAGCACTCAGCAGTCAGCACACTGCCGCTGCTGCGCCTGCGGCGCCGCGCTCGAGTTTGGCAAGGCTGGGCATCCAAGACCAAGAGCGGGTGTGACGTCGTGTGCGACCGCCTTTCCCTTGAACACTTCAAGTCTAACAAATAAATAACAAAAAGAGACTCGTGGCACTCACCGCGCAAGGACGTGCACGGTTGGCGCAGGCGGCAACCACACCTCACACGCACACCTGATCGCTGATGGCCCAGCGAGGGCAGGACACAGCTAACTAGCACCCACCCACGAGACCACGCGCCGCAAACGAGCAGCCGACGGCGTGGCAAGGTGGGACAGCTCGGCGAGGTGGGCGTCTCTCATGCCGCCTTCTCGACAGGCGCCTGCATGTGCTTGTTGGAGGAGAAGCGGCGGTTGAGAGCGTGCGCCTCCTGCTCCGCCTTCTCCGGCTGGGCGAGGACGGGCCCGAAGTAGGGCGTGACGTACCACAGGGCGCCGGCAGCAAAGCCGCTTCCAATGACGAAGCGGGTCGCGTTGTCCCAGAAGAAGGAGTGGAGAGGAGCCATTGGTTGTGGTGTCGAGAGACCTGCGCGCAGGGATAGGCGCCGCTCTAGCGCGGAAGCGGGGGCGCGAGCAGCGGGACGGAGGGAGGCGGGGGCGCCGGGCTCACAGCCCCACGCACCTTTGATAGCAATCAGGGGCAAGTCTAGCGTTTTCTTTTTTAATTACCGGCTAGGAGGCTAGGATAGGAGGCTCCGCCGGGGCCGTGCTCCGCCGCAGAGCCGTGATTGCACGGCTGATTCAGTGACGCTAGTTTCACTCGGATTCACTCCATGCACCTTCGGTGAGGGTACATTGGCCTAATACATTTGGCGTAAAAGGATACTGGAATCGCGCGCCTGACGAGGGCGAGAATTCTTCCGTGCCCACCCAGCTCGTCGCGGGCACCACTCGCTTGCCATGGCGATTGGCAGCGAGGGCACCGACCTGGTGGCGTACATGGTCCTCTTCATACCGCTCGAGTTTCTCATGACCAGCCGTCGCTTCAACAAGGACGGAAACCGGCAGCGCGCGGTCGCGCTGCCGCTCGCGCTGCTGGCGATCTTTGCGGCCGTCAAGATTGGATACGAGCTGCAGCGCAAGACGCCGAGCTACTACGACATGATGGAGGTGGCGCCCACGGCGCCGTACGCCGAGATCAAGAAGGGGTACAAACGCATGTCGCTCAAGGTCCACCCTGACAAGGTGATGGAGCGCGCGGACGTCGACGAGGACGAAGCGAGCGAGGCGTTCCGCGCGCTCAAGGCGGCGTACGACGTGCTCAACGACTCGCAGCTGCGCGACGTCTACGACAAGTTTGGCCCCGCCGGAGTCGAGAGCAAGGACGACACGTGCGCTCGGCCCTACCGCCACCGCAGCTGCAGCCGCAGCCGCCGCCACAGCCTCGGCTGTTGGCCTGCTGACGCGTCTGGCTGCGGCGCCCGCCCCGCAGGTCTGCTCTGCTCGCGGGCCTGGGCTTCTTTTACGTGACGTGGCTTGCCCTCGCCTACCTCGTGAGTGCTGCGCGCTCCATTTCATCTCGCTCTGTCTCTGTGTCTCTCTCTCTCTCACACACACACACACACACATACACACACACACACACACACACACACACACACACACACACACACACACACACACACACACACACACACACACACACACACACCTATGTCTGTCTCTGGCTGCTTGTCTCTCTCACAACACACACCTCGGGTCCAGAGAAGGGTGGGCGAGGGAGGCCGAGGGGCCGTGTGCCCGTGCTCCGTGCTCAGGTGACGCAGTCAAAGTGAATAATGAATGAATGAATGAATGAATGTGCTCAGGTGACGCAGTCCAAGTCGGTCAGCCGCGCGCAGACTTGGGGCTTCACCGGCCTGCTCGCCCTGGCCATCTTCGAGTACCAGGCGAGCTGCCCTGCACTGTGTCCCTGCTCGCCACACCCCTCGCCTCGGGCTGTCTCGGAGGGAGAGGAGAGGAGGAGAGGAGAGGAGGAGAGGAGAGCCCGGTGTCTGCTCGGCTGCCAGGCGACCATCCTCGCCTTCGACTTCCTCGAGGATCAGCTGCCCAACCTCGCCATGTTCGAAAAGGAGCGGCCCCGCCCACTCCCCCTCCACCCTCGCCCTCACCCTCACCCTCTCCCGCCCCTGCCCCTGCCCCTGCCCCGCCGCACCCCTCCCTCCTCACGCCCCTCCCTCCTCACGCCCCCTCCCCTCACCCCCCGCCCCTCACCCCCCCCCTCGCAGATCGAGCTCCTCCATCGCCTCTACCCGCCCTTCCTCTTC